ACCAGCAGTTTTGAGTTGACTACCATATTTTTTCTGATGAATTGCATGGTGCGTGAAGGGAGGTGAAGCATTCTGGTTCAATGGAAATTGGAAAATTACCAGGTAGAGCAATGAGGTGGAAATGTTAATTTTCAAACTGAACTCAACTTCATTTGACATCAGATCTGCACCAGTGTGGCTGCATGTTGGGACACAGAGAGGCTGTACAGAAGAGTAAAGCTGGGCAATGTCTCCCTTGGATAGAAGTATCCTACACACTTTCCTTCTAGTGCCTGGGTTTTAGTGAGGTGTGCTGCCTCCCCTTTAGTGACGTGGCTCCAGGGGTGACCTGTGGCTGGCCACATACTTCCCTGAGACACATAACTTAAGAGTCATCATTCTTGACTCCATCCATGCTCATGGCAAAAGCCAAGTGCCTGCAGCCTGCTCAGGACCAAGCTTCTGCTTTGGAGGTACCTGTACCTTTGGAGGTACCTATAATTCTTCAGAGCCTGGAGGAGAGTTGGGGTGACTGTGAATCTTGCTTAGTCAGAATGGTTTAAAAAGACCAGGTTTATAAACCCGATTATGAGGTCAATACTTCAGTAACAATTTGTGTGGCCTAATGAGGAAGATGGTTTGAGAAGCGTCTGTCATCCTGACTGTTGGAGAGTTGGAAATTTACCCCAGTCTCCTTGCTGTGTTTGAGATGGGGGATGGTGCTGCTTCTGCTTGAAAGCAGCTCAAGGTTTCAGACTGTGGAGGGTTCAGTGTGGTTTAAGAATTTCAGTTTTAGTCAGTTCTGTTGCTTGTGTCCCAATGGTTCAGCTGTGCTGGGTCTGGCAGGACCTCACTAGTGTTCAGTAGACCCTGGAGATTCCTGAATTACAGCCCTCTTCACACATCAGGAGGGACACATCTACTCCTGGCATAGCTGCGTAATTCACACAAAGATGTAACTACTGCAATGCCTATTTAAGAGAAGTGAAAGTAGGTCAAGTAGTTTCAGAGCTGATACCAGCTCTTCTGTTCCCTTCATACTGTCGTGGTAACAGAAGCACAATTTTCTCTCCTTTTTTCCTTTCCTTTATTTCTAGGTGTTGCATCTCCCCTAGCAAGGACAGCAGTGTACAGCGTTATAGGCAAACTGGTTGTAAATCTTAGTGCGTGGAGATTTTAAAAGGATTCAGGACACCAAAATACGCTAATCTTCTCTGGAGGCTTAGAGAGAAAATGAGAGACCACAGCTCCACTCATGTCAGACTTTTCAGTAACATTTTAATCTGTTGGTGTATTTTTCAGCGTATTTTAAGACCTATGTGTCTGTGCTTTACCATTTTATCTGTTAAATTCTGTAAGCCATTCTAAAATGTGTATTTCATACTTTATCAGAGGTGTTATGCGTTGCCATCTCTGAGCCTTCAAACGGTCTGATTATCTACATTCAGCAATAACTTTTTATGTTTAAGAAGTACAGGTGAGATCCAGAATTCCATTTGGGAAGTGGAAGTTGCCAAAACTTCTCACCTCTTCCCTCCAGCAATGAGCAGTCTTTGGGACCTGAGCTTTTTGATCAAAAATATCATGTGGCACCTGTGTTATCTGTGTCCCAGGAGTCTGTTGAGCTGTGCACATTGCTGCTGTCCTGACTAAGAGGGCAAATTGAGCATCCCCACGTCTGAACTCAGCAGTTGGTAAGGCATGCTCTGAAAACATATTAGACAGTACTGTTTTCATTTAAAATTTATCCGGGGAGCAGGATATGCTATTGCTCATCTTTATAGAACATCTGAGAGCATGGACTGCCCTCTTGACCTTTGTCCTTTAGCTTCTTTTCTTCTAAACCCATGAATCTGGCTTTCTGAGCTGGAGATCAATCCAAGGTCAACAGGGGCAATGGGTGTCCCATCCTGTATGTCTTAGGAACCAGTATCCTGGAACATAGACGAAGTCCTGAGGCTGAAGAGAGCCTGTATCCCTATGTTTCCTTTTCATTAGGCAAATACAGTAACTGCTAGCTTAATACGTAAAACCTGCTGGCGTTTTGAGAGGAAAATGGGATGAAGCAGATTTTTATATATAATGTCTCTGAATATATATGTATATATGTGCGCACACACAGGTTGTTTTTTTACCCATTTTTTGGATAAATATATTGTTCAATAATTATTTACAAGTAACAAAGTAGGACATTGCTTACACACTGGTCTGAGCTTGGTGCCTGTGTACAGGAGTGGTCTCTGCTGTATTGTACAGATGATGTGTCTGATTTCTGACTCTAAGTGGCTGTCAATGTTGGGCTCAATCTGAGATGGTCAGGCACAGACGTTTTCTTCTGGTGGTGTGACGTACAGAAATGTCAGAAAGGATTTTATATAGGGGCTTAACACTATTCATATATGTGATTTAAGTTGGAGCTGTACCCTACATTTCCAGATGTGGACCTTGCAAACCACATTCCTGAAGGAAACCCCAATAAACAGTTGTCATTGCTAGCTGTAGGAACAAACTTTGCTCACTGCTGTTCTGCGTACCCTGAATCACACTGTGTTTCATCAGAGCAAGAGTGCATCCTTCATCCCTTCAGACATTAATCACCATCTCGTAGTAAAATATCTTACATTTTACCCTGGCTATGGAGAACTGAGCCAACTCTTCTGCTTTGTGAGGTCAAACTGAAGGAATCAGTCATCCCTTTTGTATTCTGTACATATCAAGAAATGGAGAATGAAGAGAGGAGAGTCTGCAGATTCAGAGACTGCATTGACCCCACAGGTTGTGATCAACAACTTCTGTTTTCATCCTTTGCATAAATGGGTGACTTTCAGTGTGTACCATGGAGGACATCTGGACTGAATGAACAGAATGCACCCAGGAGAAAATACCTGCTGTACGTAGAGCTTCTGGAAAGGACATTGTGGTGCACTGGATGGATGTGATCAAGGTGTGGGCTGGCCTGCATGGCTGAATTGATTTTGCCATTCTGCTTGTTTAAGGAACTGACTTCTGAAAAGGACTTAGATTAACTGTGTTTGTCATATATTATGCCGGTGAAAACTACAGATACGATGTTTGAGATTCAGGTGGATGTTCTTGCCTCCCATTGTGAAGGTCCCTCCATTTTGGGAAACCTCAGAAAACAGAGAGCAAATGGCCAAACCAGTCTACAGTGGATTTTGGCGACTCTAAACAGTCTTTTCCTTGAGCCTTTTTTAATTCCCTCCTTGAAAAATACGCTTGGGAGTAAATCTGGATGAGCAATTGTTCCTTCATGTCTGACATAACTGATGCCTTTGCAGAGACAAACATGGGGTAGTTGAAAGCAATTGTTTCAGATACCTCTTGCTACAGCAGTGTGAAGGTGGTTGTCCTCTGTGAGGAGTGTGGGGGCTTCTCTATAATCCAGTGGGGTTTGTTTTGTCTTTCTGATGTGCTAGGTGGGTATTTCATACCAGTGAAAGATGGGAAAGGTGATTCTCTGGAACCATTAGCCTAATTCCTTACAGCATCCTTAATTTTCTGTAAGCATCTTTACAGAGCTTACAGAAAATCACCTCTTGGCTCCTCAGAGTCAGTCGAGAAAACTGTGCAGCCATTGCAGAGAAGACCAATATTTAAAATGTGATACTACTAGACTGGAGCATAGGGACCTTTAACAGGTAGTTGCTTTCACTGGCCCATAGGAATCTTGTGTCTTGGAGAAGGGGCACTTTAAAAATGCAAGTTACATTTGGCCTATTTAGGCTTGTTATGAGCACTCTTTTGGTCGCCATACTTATGACAGCTGTATCTCTTTGAAAAACCAATCTCTGTCTTGGAGTTAAGTGATTTCTTTGTCTCCCATCTGTCCTTGTCTGCCACAGAAAGAAAAGTACTGCCAGGTACATTCTTGGCACTGAATTGCAGGTTATTTCAGGCTGTGATGCAGCCCAAAGCTTGTGGGTTTTAATCCCAAATAGAAAATAAATCCCAAAGGAAAACCCGGAGAGCTTTTAGCTTTCCTGGACTAGGGTTGGAATTTTATGACATACAGAAATTTAAATTAGAAAAATTGCTTATTAGAGCTGTTGAAACAAAAACATTTCATGGAGTTGAAATAACAGTGCTTATTATCTACCTTTCTCAAGTGTTCCCAGGAAGGAGCTGAGCAAAACCATAAGTTTGCATTGCTGACTGTTTGTAGATAGCTGCATTGGTCATTTATACAAGTACTTGAGTGCTTGTTTTCCACGTGCCCTCCACAAGCAGGAGCCCATCTTGCCTGAGCTACTTGAACTGGTTTGAGATAACAGGTACTTGTATTGGGAAAGGAGATTTCTAAAACTGAATAGCTTGAGGGACTTGGAGACCCAGAACTTGTTTTTTGTTCTTAGAGAAGTCTTGTGATAGAGTGGTATTAATCTTTGTTTATCTGTCAGTTGTGTGGCTGTGGAGGTAATAAAAAATGATGTACTTGTTCAGTCATGCAAACTTACTCATTTAGAGAGGGGATAAGATGAATGACAAGCCCACCTGGGAGAGACCACCAGTCCTAGATTGGTGGATTCAGGATGGAAGCTAGATTTAAAAACCAAACCAAAACAAAACAACAACAAAAAGACTTTTTTAGTAAGTTCTGTTTGATAGACCACAAGAAAAACAGCAGTGACAGTCAATGTGCCTTGAGGAATCAGCATGTCACTAATGTTTAGGTATTTGGTTAGTAAGTTGAATGCAATTATTCATGTTTCTAATCCTAGTAATAATACAGTTGGAAATAATAATTGCCATTGCTGTAATAAAACAAATTTCTTATGATTTAATACATTAAAATGAAGTTCAAATCATCAGAAGCTGCATTGCTCCCAATGAGGGGAGGTTGCTTAATTGAAATTTGGAAGAAAATACATAGCTTACTAATGTCTTATGCTAAGCACTCCATGGGTAGTTTGACTAGCTGAGTATTGTGTTTATATGTTATTGTGTCATGTGATAACAGCACCATGTTTTCCTGTCATTTTCACAACTTTTCCTGGCTGAAGTGATACACAAGCAACCCTTGGTAGTTATCACATTGTCCCGTTCAGTTTCAAAAGGAGAGAAGCGGACCTCATCCAGAAACTTTCCAGCAGGCTACAGTAAGCTTAACTGTCTGTTAGCCATTGTCAAATATTTTCCATACCTACAAAAATGGCATCTATTAAAGTAATGAAATTTGTCTCAGAAATAGTGTCATTCCATTGAGTGATTTTTGTGTAATGATAATGATATTTCATCTTAGTATCATTTTGCAAACTATTTAAAGTATGTATTCAGGTTCTTTTGTTGATTCTTATGGATGTGCTTGTGTCTCTGTTGCCTGTTCTTGGGTGGCTGACCATGGCTTGGGTGATGTTTCAGAAAAAGAATCAGTGTTCTTAGAAGGGTTATTTAAATTAATTATCTCAGGTTTTTCTGCTATTATTCTGAAATGCTTGAATCCAATGTAAGCCATAGTGGGTTCAGCCAATATGCTGCAGTCTGGCTCATGTCCAAATTGAAATGAGTTTGAGATTAATGTGCTCAGTTAAATTAGGTACAGTCTTCACCATGGTGAATGGAGAGGTTTCCTCAATGTTAAGGGCAGGGTTAATCAAAATCTGTTTTAATTTAGTAGTTTACGAGGAGAGCTTAATACAAAATATCGATACCATAAAAGCTTCAGCCAAACCCCTTTGAAGTCAGGGAGACTCTGCAGCCTTGAGAGTGTGCTGGTCTGAGTCTTGATGGTTGTGGAAGTGGCTGTTCAATCTTTCCACACTTTGTTAATATCTTTATTTTACAGTTTTCGGGGGAGCATAGAAAGCCAGAGCAATGTTAGGGAGAACTTACTGCCACTTGGTCATGATGAAAGGGAGCAAGTATGCTTTTGCTTTTAGTCTGAGTAGGTAAGAGATGCAAAACTAAGTAGTTTTCTTTCTTTGACATGTTTTTTGTATCTCTTCTTCACATCTAGGAATCTGTTATTAAATATAACTAAGCCTCAGTACAGCTTACATAGCTCAGAGGAAAACCCGTTTAGTTCTGCCCCTCTTGCAAGAATGCCGCTGCCCATCAGTTTATTGGAAGCAGAAATTTCTTCTCCCAAGAATCAAAGATTTGTGAGAACACCACCAACATTTTCAGCCCTCTGAAAAAAAAAAAAGGAACATTTATTTTGGAGACTTTCTCCAGTGAAATTTAAACTATGATTGCTGTTTTATTAGTGTCAGCCTGCAGGGTCTGAAAACTGTTTTCTAGGTAACACAGACATTGAGATAGAAGCATTGCAAACTCTCTAGGCTATTTGAAAGACTTGGTAGGAAAATGTTAGCCAAAGTGATAACCTGTGTTTTTACAATGAAGCTATGAACAGTGCAGAGTGTTATTAAAACATGCAGTTTGCATGGAAGCTTTTTTGTTAGGATTTATGTTTTAGCATTCCTTTGGCTGATTGACCACAAATCAATTTCTAAAATCCCATTGTGTTAATCAGCTTTTTTTTTACCGAACTTGTAGAGAAGTAGTATATGTTCTCATTAACTGTAGTGCAAATAGGAGCTTTAAAGGGAGACTTCCTGGAAGAATCCAGCACTGGGCAGGCTTGGGAAGCACAGCTGGTTTGCTTCGATCTTTTTGACTCTGCAGACTTAATTTTATTCGTGTTAACTGTAATGTTGAATGCCTGAGCTTTTGGGCTTCTGCATGTCCTGCAGAACTCTTAATGAAGTAGAATGAAGAGGAGGTAGGTAGCTATGTACAGCATCTTCCTGGCCTTATTTATGTCTGAAAACTTTCAATTTTGCTTAAAAAAAATTCACCAACTTTTCTCTGCTTCTCCCCACGGTCCTTTTTCATGCCAAGAAATGCTTCTTTTAAAAAGGTTTGGCATCCCTGCAGTTCAGTGCTAACAGCAGGGCTTGGGGAACTAACACAGCCTGTCCAAGAGCTTCCCAGTGCCTCTGGGGTTCTCCCCAGGAGGTTTTGTGGGTCTCTAGCCATGGCAGACCTTCCTGTGCAGCTCTCGCTCACCAAGCTTGCCGTGAGCAACCTCCCGTCCCAAACGCGTGTGACCCTGTCCGTGGCCCAGCTGTGGTGCCTGGTGCTAGCCATCCGCCTGCCTCCTGCCAAGCTGGACCCACAAACGTTTTCATTTCTGACAAAGACCGACTGTTTGGAGAAGTTACTGTCTTGCTTGGCGTTCCTAATGCCTGGAATAACTGCTGTGACAAGCATAGTAGCCATCTGCAGCAAGACCCCAATTTTGATACATTGATGCCTTTCAAGTGCAGTAATTGCAACGACTTTTTTTGGGTTTTTTTTCCAACTTGCTATTAAAACTTTTCGAAAGCAAGATAGGGAGTTGGAAGCTTCAGTCCTGTACAAGTTGTCAGGATCTGTAGTCCCTAAGGTGCATTTGAAAATACTGCTTTTAATTGTTTGAGAAATACCTAGCCCTCTTTAGCTATTTCTCTGTTTTTTTCAAGTCATACATTAAGCCCCACAAATGCATTTTACACACCTGATCATTTGGAGCATATATGCTTAATTTTGCCCAACATTCCCAGCCTTAGAGAGATTTCGATTGTACAGCATAAAACCAAATGATAGGAGCATTTGTCTGATGACATCTGTGCAAATTCTAATGAGCACTAAACACAGGGGCTGAAATTGTGTTGGTTACAGAAGGAGGGACTGGGCATTAATTACTCTTCACCTTCACTAAACACTGTTCTATGTAGTTATGCTTCTATTTTCTGAATGGTATTTCAGAAAATACATTTCTGTGGTAGTATCTAGTGCACTAGGATGTAGTGCAGGGTTTAGGCAGGCTTTTTTGCATTTTGGGGGCATGTCCGCCCTGTGGATTTATGTCTTCATTTATCTGCAGCAGTACAAATTTAGTAATAGTTGTACTGCATTGATGATTTATTTGTTCTTATTACCTCACTAAGTTTTACATCAGAAAATTCCCATTTTATATCAATGCCAAGAGTCTGTGTTCTAGATTTCAATTTTTGAGCTGCTTTCTTGGCATGGAAATCCCTTGGGAGTTTGATTTAGACTGAAGAATTCCTGTTATAAAGTGTAGGTTTTGATGCTAAAAGTAATCATTGCATTCCAGTTACTGACTCTTAAGATATGCCATGCTGCTTAAAGTAAAACTGCATTGTTTAAATGTTGCACATTAGCTAAATGAGCAAAATCTATATTAAAGTGCCTGTCACTCTGTCAAACTTGTCATTTGACTGTTTTCCTGGGTATTAGAAAAAAGATAAGCAGGAGCTGTGGTTGCAATACAAGGCAGATGTCATCATAAATACATAATGGAAATTAAGCCAAGCTTCAACATGTCAGGTTTTGTGGGTGGATGGTGACAGTACATCTCAATCCAAACGCATGGATCTCTGCTGCTCCACACCAGAATACAGCTGCAGAGGGCACTCGGTGCCGACCTGCGGAGGGGGTATTTCCTAGCTCACATCTTCCCAGCTGCTCGAACCACCCATCCTGCAGCTGTGGGAACAGATCTGTGCCAGATCTGCTTTCACGCTACAGCTGGGGAGAAACAGGCTTCTTGTGTAACAAGGAAATAATGATTTCAAATTTGCTTTCTCTTCTCATCTAGGGTAAGAAAAGCAAAGTTTCCTGGGCAGAAAAACAGACAGGGAAGAGTGGAGATGAGTTTAATTGCTTTATTTGAATAAAACATGTCAACATTTAAAGCTTTTAACTCTGAGAACTTCAATATGAAATGTTTTGAAACAAGAGATGGAAAGGGTTTGCTCAGAAATTCAGATCTCACATTTCACCCTCCTGGTAGCACCTCTTTATCTTTTTTCCTTGCCTTTTTGAACAAGATTTAGCTCTCGATGGTTGTGCTTCTTCCTGCCCAGCATCTGGCAGGAGGTGGGCAGGAAATGCCCATTTGCTGGTGCCTCCTCAGCATGATGCATCTCACCTACCTTCTTCCATCAAAACAAGAACTAGTTTTGTGGTACTGACAAAATAGGCTGGTTGAGCAGTTAGTAACTGATTGATGCAGCTTCCAATGGAAGCTGCCTGCAAGACAGCTAGCAAGTCTGGAGGTCATGTTTCATTTTTTTTTGTTGTTGTTTTTTTTTTTTTTTTTTGTCATTTTACTGCCTTATTTTCATTCCTTTCTTTTTAGTAAGCACATTCCATGAAGAACCCCACTCAGTGCAGTGTTCAGCTATGCACAGAAAGTCAAAGATACGTAAATAGTGCTAATGAAGGGATGCCACTTCTGCTCTATGGGCTGCTGTGTCGATCACGTCTGTGCTGTATTGTAGCACTATCAGTAGGTTTCCTGAAGGGCCGTGGAGGGATGCTTCAGGGAGAGGCAGATTGAAAGTCTCAAGCAAGGCAGGTTCTAAAGAGCAGGAAAGATCAGGGCAGGCACAGCACAGGAGTGGTGAGAGGAGCTGTTCAAGGCGTTCATCAAACGGGTCAAGGGTTCAGGACATGCAGCTGCTCAAAGCCTGGGAAGTGCTAAACCAAAGCGTTGCAGAGAAGCTGAAGTGCAGCAGATTAAGCCATTTGAACCAGAGCTGCTCCAGTCAGTTGACCTTTGGACCTGACCTCATTGCCCCTGCAAAACCCAAGTTCCAAATAAAACCCAGTGGAGGTCGTGGTTGGGTCCACCACTGCATCCAGCTGGGTAGAGTTTACAGCTGCTGGCTGACAAACAGTCGTATTTGTCAGTGTGGAATCAGCCATAAGATGTTTATTCCTCTGGCTAATAAACTCGATAAGCTTTATGCATTTGGTCGAATATTTCATGTATGATCTACTTTGTTGGTCTGGGCCCTGGATGAGCGAGCGGTGGCTTGACCAAATGCCCAAGAGAAGTGATCAAAGTCTGAGGGATGAGTTTGACAGAATCTCCCTTGTACACCAGGTGGTCAGAAGTGCCCATGTGCTTTAATATCTGTGAGATTGGTGTGCCCTGTAGAGGGAACTGTCTTTAATGCTGTTAATGCTACTTGAAAGTGGGAAACTCAGGCTTTTGGCTTACTTTATGACCCAATAAGTGTGAATTAGCTAATTAATTAATGAAAAACTAAAAATTTGCATGGCATTTGAAGATGAAAAGTGTTGTAAATACTTGTGCATTTGCTACTAATTCAGTGATAGCATTGCAGCATTTGAAGGAGTAATTGGGGGCACCTTAAAACAACCATTGAACTCTTCTGTCCTACAGATTTTGGGCATTGGTCTGCTCCTTACCTCGAGAAATCCTGGTGGCTTCAGTAGCAATGTTTGCCTGAGAACATTAGGTGTTTGGTAAAGACAGACTTGAACAGGCAGTTCTTGTTTTCATATGTCACAAACAACTTGTCTTGATTTTTATAAATATTAATTATCGGCTCTTTATTTGTTTTTGAAGAAATTAAATAATTATCCAAAATGTTGTTTGGTTTTTTTTTTTTTTGTTTGGTTTTGAAATTAATTGCAGTTTTCCATTAAGAGCAAACTCTTTCTGAAGTCACTTAATTCACACTGAAGAGCTTGCCGGTGTTACATAGACATCCAACCAAAAGGGAAACAGTTGCTGGGAGTGTGGTGGTGTAGAGCAGTGGAAGCTTTGGGGAGATGGGGCTGGGAGTGCTCTTCAGGCTCTTGGTTCTGCATGTTACCAGATCCTGCTTGAAGCCTGATGTATTTTGAAGAACTGTGTAAATGAGTGATTAGAATGACTCTACTATATGAGACACATTAAATTTTATGCCTCAGCTGGAGAACCTTATCCTTAATTGAAGCTGTGGGCAAATGTATGTCATTTTTGATTTAACATTCTCCCTCACCCCTGCACCCCCTTCCCCAACCAAAATCCTTTGTGGAGTCAGATTGTTGCTGTAGCCTTTGTGAACCCCTCTCTTCTAATGTTTAATCAAGTACTGAAAAGAGAAATTTACAGACTATTTAAAATGTGGAAAAATTGCTTCCCAATATTTTTGACAGAGAGAGACTGAGAACACACAGCATTGAATCATCAGGAAAATTGAAGATTTCCCCTGAACAGCATTGGGATTTTACAGCAGAGGACTTGAAAGACCTTGGAGAAATTGGACGAGGCGCTTATGGTTCTGTCAACAAAATGGTCCACAAACCAAGTGGGCAAATTATGGCAGTTAAAGTAGGTGATGCCCATACTTACATTTGTACTTCAGTCCATTAGGGATGAAATGTGATGGAGAATTAATGTTCTTCCATCTAGCACCCATCTACTGCTCTTTCCTATTTATTTCCAGTGTAAAGGCTGCTATTTGGTGAAAATACATTGTATAATGGGCATATTGTCAAGTGATTTGTAAAGCTCTTATAATTGCTGGTGCCCTTTTGAAAATGCCTATCAGAAACCTATATTTCAAGGGGATCACATGTCTCTGGAGACTGATAATGGGGCATGGGCCTTTCACCTCTGGGTCACTGGTTCAGATACAGCCTAGGTTGGTGGTAAGCACAAGTTGACACCTAATAGCTGCTTGGTGTCTTTTGTGAAATAAGGTAGTGACTTAAAATTTGCTTTTTGTGTAAGCATGTGCCATGGTGTAGCCTCACCAGGAGGAGCTCAAATGGAGTGTACATCTTCCAGGGAGTGTTTTGCTCCTGCTGATGTATGATGGAGTCTTTGCTTTGTGCTTACCATGCTGGACCTGCTCTGGAAATTGAAAGGGTTGCAGTTTTCTGCACTGTCCATTTTTGACCTTATGCTACCCAAAGAGTAATCTTTGTCTTGCCACAGCAGTGCTGCTCACTGGGCATCTTTGAGGAGCTGCTTTTCCACTGAGCTGGATGAGGTGGGCAACAGCCATTCTCTGTCTCTCTTGTCCTTTTCTTTGCTTGCTGCTGGCTGGTAGCTAATGACATCAATCTTTTAACTCTGTTGATGATATCAACTGTCAGTGCTCCCATGGCTCCCACGAAAGAGTAGAAGTGAGCTATGTAGGAGTCTGTGTTGCTCTCTTTTCCATCTGTCTCAGTCTTCTTTGGAATACTCCCTGATCTGATCTGGAAATGCTCACTCCTGCTGGTCTTGCATGCCAGGTAGACGTGTCTCAGCCCCAGCTCTGGGTGTAACTCATACTTGTCTCTAGTGTGTCAGATGGAATAACCACCTTCCTTTGATTTTCTCTGGTAAATACTGACTTCCTCACAGTGTTGGGATCACTGGCCAGGTCTCTGAGTGTTTTGGATCACCATGCAGTGCTGTTTCAACCTGGTTTTGTATCCCTAAAAGTTTCCAGTGGAGGTAGAGGATGCCTGTAGCTAAAGGCTTGTTTCTCTTAGTTGCCTTTGGTGGAACTTGTAGATGGAGTTTGCAGATGATGGGTTGAAAACTGCTGATGTAGTGAAATGATGCCTGGACACCCCCAGCTTCTCAAACCCAAGATGTGTGATCTGGGTAACTATAGTTTTGCTACTATAATCACGATAGCCATGGGTAAGAAAAAGGCATACCTATAGCTGAGTGGCTTTGTTATCTGAAGCTCTGCAGTGGGTACAGCTGTGCTGAGAAGAGTGCTTTGTTGGATTAGCTAACGTCATCGAGGAGGAGACGTGTCTGCTGGCACAGAGATTCTGTTGTCCCAGACTGTGTATGCACAAGGGGTGTTCAGCATCGGGGGTCTGTAACACGGGTACAGCTCCCATGTGGGAGTCAGAAGGCACCAATGCCATGTTCTTGAAGCACGCAGTTGGAGATGACATTGCACAGCATGTTGAGCTGGTTTTCCTAAGGGAAGAGAGATGTTCTGAGACACAGGGGGGTACTGGGCTTGGGGGCTTGCTTTTAAACAAAATCTGATAGGTTTACAATGTCTAAAGTTTGAAATGTCAAAGCTGTGGGCTGGGATGGTGCTACCTTCTTTTCTCTGAACCCACTCCCCTTGGTCAGGCATGGCTAGGCCTGCAAGAGGAGGAAGGTTTGGAGGGTCTGGTCAACTGTATAATTTCTAAAATGTTAGTGGCAAGGGGCTGTTCTGTTTGTCCCGGTGGGGATAAAGCACAAAATTGAGCAAAGGAAGACCTGTGGGTGCAACAGTAAGCGAGGTCTCCGAGGCAGCAGCAGCTATTCCACAGCTTGAATGGTGCAGTTATTTGAGATTAGATTTCAGGCTGAGCTTGGCTTAGTGACTTGGACTCAGCCTTTTCTTTCTCAGATTGCCGTTGCTTTTGGGGCAGCTGCAGTTGTGCATTAACCTCCCTGCTCCTGCTCTATCTAAATCTGCCTTGTGGGGCATCCGTATTTTGGGCTGTCCACCTTGTACTTGCTCTGTCTCCCTCAAGCCTGTGGTGGTCTGACAGCTTGCAGAGCTGTTGCTATCTGAAGCCCCAGCTCCCCACCTGTGTCCAGGGAAACCAGCTGCTCTCCATGGTCTCTTCTTGCTCTACAGGCAAACTCTATTTCTTCTCATTCAGTATAATGCCCTTCTGTAAGAGAAGGTTGCAAAGGTTTAGAAAGGGGGATGGTGGTTTGAGAAGAAAACATGTCAATCTAGTGATCTGAGGTCTTTGCTATGATCTCAATGACATCTGCTTGCAGCTGTGGTGTGGCACCATGCTGTGTAGGGCATCAGGAACCCTGCTCTGCAGCTAGCTGGATTGCAAAGCTAGTGTTTCTGGTTATTTGGTGGTGCTACTTCCCCTCTCCTGTGCTTCCCCAAGAGCAACATCAGTGCAGCAGGCAAATCATCCTTGGAAGGGCATTCAGCAGTAGGAAATAGCTTTATGGAGGCCGCGAGCCAAAAGTTGTTGGCTGTTCTGTGCTGATGAGTGAAACACAGAGATGGCTTCAGAAGCTGCTAATTAGATGCAGAGAAAATTGGTACGGGAGTCTCACCCAGCTGCTCTTCCATCCTTCTCCACTGCTACCCAAATTTCTACTACCATTGCTGCAGATTTCCAGCACAGTCAGGTACCCCACTTCTGGAAGGGCCAAGTCCTGTTTGTTCCTCTGGCATTTTCTAGCCTGTCATGCCTTTGCACAAGGAAGAGTCTTTGGTTCCTTGAAGCGTGGTTTAGCTTAGCCTTCCGCGTTCTCCATGCTTGGTGCATGTGGCACCAGTGCTGCAAAGCACACTGGCTCCTGCTGCCCCCCGGGGCTCCCCCAGCACAGCCTTTTTTTTTCTACACTTTCCGTCTATATTTCTTACCACTGCAGGAAAATAATTCAAGTGCTGAAATATCACCGAAATAACTTGAGATCTGCAAGTGGAGGCACCATTTTCTTTCATTTTTACTTTTTATGCATTTTGGCCTCATCAGCCAACATATGGATCCTGGCAGATGTAATCCTGGCACCTTTAATGAGGGTGTCTAGCTGCCTGCACAGGCAGGGCTGCTGGGCTCTGGATGAGTCAGAAAGCTTTCACCTGTGTTTGAGCCTCAGCAGCAAAGGAGGAAAATGAGCCTTGTGGTGTTGTGTTGCTGGTGTGAAACCACTGAAGCTTCAGCTGGTGGAGCATTGCGGGGGAGAGGCTCAATGATCTCTTGTCCTCAATCCTGCTCCTTCATCTTCTTCAGCCTTTGTCATTCTGCACCTCTATGAATACCTATTTAAATAACAAAAAGACTTTATGTGCCTCTTCAGGAACAGACTGGAGCAGAGGCTGCTGGCTGTAGCAGGTTGGTTTCAGAGGCAGACAATTGCAGTCTTTGGTGAGATGCTTTTGCATCCCTTACTGTTTCTGCAATAGAGAACATCTTCCTAGAGCCATCAGGAAGAGAGCGAGAGGATAAAGGAAAGAGAAATCCAGCTCAGAGGATTTGCATTCAAACCTTGCTTATTTTTGCCCCTGGAAAATGTTTTATTAAGTTTTCCAGATCTTACTAAAAGACACTCCTCTTTTTCATTAGATCCCCTCCTCTCTCAGAGCCTCCTAGAGATGCAAAGTCCCTGTTTGCTCTCAGTCAGCTAGTGGGAAAAAAAAAAAACCAACAAACCTATTCATTTTCTTGAGGATTTATTGGCATATGAGGTCAAGCCTCTTCCAGGTGGAAAAGAGAACAGCCCAATTCTTGTCCAGTGCCAGCTCTGTCTCTGCAGATTCACAATTGCAAGGTCACTTTGTATGTTAACTCCTCATTTCCTTGGCAGGTTTCTCTTCTGGGCTCCTTGTTTTCCTTGAAGAGGTCCCTGCCCTGGCCAGCATTTGCCTGCAGCACCAGCTCTCTGTGATACTGCCTGGTCTGGCTTCCAATTCTACTCAGTGTCCTTTGACTTTGCTTCTGTTTTCTTGTTCTCTCTTTAGTCTGTTTTTGCCCAGTCTGTGGCAGTTCATAATTGACTTGTAAATAATCTCTCAGGCTTCTTCACTCTATGGAGAGCCCTGGGCCCTTCTCAGGATCTGCTCCAATGTCATCACTCCTGGTTTTGTCCCAGAGGCTTCACAGTATGTGCAGTTCTCCAGCTCCATTTGTATTTCCCCTCCAGCATCACCATGTGGTGTTGTCCCAGCTGCTCCAGGGTGTTGTGCATCTTATTTCATGAGGGTACCACAGATTCGAGGAACAGGACTGTCTTTGGCACATCAGAGGAACTGTAGAAAGGCCCCAATTTATTTGAGTGAAATGGTTCTCTTGGGAAACTCACTCAGCAGCTGGGGGGTTTGTTTCTGTCCTGAGGTTTCTCTCTGGCACTGATGATAGTTCACACCAAAAAAAGTGCTTTAAAAGATCTGTCATACTTGTTTTTTCCAGGCTAGTATAAAAAATACTTAAATTAAAAAAGCCAAAACTGGAAAGAAAGCTGGGAAGTGTTCTTCCTGTAGGAGCAGGATGTTCTGCTTTTTACTTAAATACTGTATGTAATACCTGGTGTGGGTTTTATTAGCCTTAAAAAGGCTTCTTGAAGGCTGGGAAAGTTTCTTGTTTGAAGAGTTCACAAGATAAGTGAATATTTAAAATAGCCAACCTTTAATCTGTTAGGTGGTTCCTCTGTGGGTCAGGAGCCCAAGCGTGGTAGTGCTGTCCTGAGTCTGCTGGCAGGAGACCTCCACCTCCTGCTCCCCTCCCCGTCAGCCCCCCCAGCCCTGAGGTCCAGGCAGGCCCTTTCTGCAGTGCAGCAGGGAGCACCTCCAAAATTTGAGGTTCACTATTGGCAGCTTCTGCCAACTTCTTTTCAGCTAGTTCCACTGGCTGAAAAAATACATCATCAAGAGTCAAGTAGAATGGTTTGTGCTTTAGTTGACCTTCAAGCTTCATGGAGCCATGACAAGGAACCATCTTGCACCTCTTTTTAATTGAATTAATTTTCTATCAGAAATAGTTACAGCTATGAGACTAAGTCAGCTGGGGAGAGGGCACTTTTGTCCACAGTCCTTGTGTTCAGTTTTCTCCCACCCCAAAAGTTGTAGTGATTTTCAGCCATATGCCAGATTTTTCTGTATCTTCCAATGTCTATTGTATAAATTAGCCTAGCTGATTTAAGTCCTGCTCTGCAGTATTGCCTAGTCTAGTCTCCAGTTCCAGATGATGTCCTCAGATGTTGTCACTGGTTTCTTGTTTTTTCTTTAGTCTAGCAGTTTTTGACCAGACTACAGGTGGTCTTCCACATCTGCTCTAAACTTCTCCTAAGAAAATCAGAAGCATTTCAAGATCAATTGGGTAATTGGAGAAGCTGGCCAAGGCTTACATAATAGATACATAATATTCAGCAGGATGTCAGGCCCGTGAGGTGTCCGTAAAGACCCCTGTTCTACTTGGAAAAGCCAGTAAGCTGTGGAGCCATTTCTTGTTTAGAGCACAGTGCCTCTTTTACACCATTTTGCCTTGTAGTCAGTGCTTACTCTCTCATCTGTAGCTTTAAAACAGATGTTCACATCGTTGGCTTTTACAGGTTTTCTGTGATGGCAGTCTCACAGCTGAAATATGTTGCTAAGTATCACATATCCCTGAGAGGAGAAATTTAATATTTATTTATAGCTCTATAATCTCTCCATCCTTACCTGGATGCCTGATAGCCCATACAATCCCCCCGAAATGACACAAGTGTATAAAGCTCAGTCAAGGAGCATATCCTTCCAATTTGCCATATGACTTCTGAGGAGAAGTCTTGGGGCTTTTTGCAAGCTGGCTTTATTGCAAATCATCATTTCCATTCTTTGCACAATTAGGTACCCTCTCCCAGGTTAACTCATTGTTTATTGTGGAGAATTTTCTGTTTCACTCATCTGTTTGAGTAGCTGGCTGAGAGTTGGGGAAACCAGTGCTCCAAGCCCTGGTGGTAATACACTGGGAAAGGAGTGAATGAGTAAGGGCTAAAAGGAAATGCTGAGAGAGAGTAAAAACCTTATTATAGGAGGTGGGAAGCGAATTGTGATCAGTGGAAGACTGATATACTTCTGTCAGCAGTAAATGTGTTTCAGATAGGTAGATAAATATTCTGATTGCTTCAGCAGTGAGGACGAGACTTTTCCCTGCTGATTTGGTGTCCTCAGCCCCTGTCACCTCCCGGGAGCACCAGTGCTCTGGTGGCATTGCCAAGCACTGCTGTTCTGTGCGTCCTGCTGAGAACACACGTGAGCCCTGTGCCTAGGACACCACTGTATTGCCTCACAACTCAAGGAATCGGTTTTCAGTTTGGTGTCTATAGCTTTCTTTTTTTGTTTTCCCTTTTTTTTAAAAAAAAAAAAAATCTGGTTGCTACCCACTGCACCTTAATCTTTTTGTGTGTGTATTGGGGCTGGGTGATGTCTCTTCTGTTTTGGGTCCAGTTTCTGGGATCTGTCTGGCTTAGGTTTGAGGGTGGTCTAATCCACAGCATAGTTTATCCTTTTGCTGTTGATGCTGCTGATGCTTCCCAGGGCATAGTTTTCAGAACTCTTGTTCCTGATATCAGAAGGCTTTGTTCTAACCTGTGTTTGTATTAAAAGGGCTGGAGAATTTTCTCCTGGATGATTTGATGCAGTTTAAGTTTGAGGACAACAAGGAACCATTAAAAAAGCGATTCTCCATAAACTTCTACTACAAAACTCACTTTTTCCATATGTGGCTTGTTTGGTCATGTCAGTGACTACATGCAGTAGAGTGACCAGGCTGAGAGGTGTAAGACCTGAAGCTAAGTCAGACCTGTCCATCCCTATCTTAAATGGTGTCTTCAGGCTGTTGCCTCACCTCGTGTCTTCCTTCCTTGCCACCTCCCATGTTCTTGTGGGAGTCTGTCTGTGGTAGCTGCTGCAGTGTCTTGCACTCTGCCTTGGAGTTAGGTGGCAGATCATCATTACAGCTCACGTGTTGTTTGGGCAGTGGCTGCTGTTGACTTCAGTCACCTCTTGCTGTTTCTTCCTTGTGTTGCTGGTGAACACTCGTTCCTTAGCTGGTGAATTAATTGGGACTGCTGGCCTGCAGCTGACTCCCTGGTGCACTCTAACTAAACCAAGCCATGTTTTCCAGCCTGGGCTGACCCCATCTTAGTGCTGTGCTGCAGGCTGCTCCCAGTAGTCTTCCCCTCCTCTTGAATTTGCCAGTCTCCAACATTCTCGTATGAGACCTCCCAATCTTGCATCACATCATTACCTTCACTTCCTGAAGCAGTGTTTGTTGAGGAGTTCCTGCTAGCTTCTCGAGGTGTCCTTTGGCTCCTGTGTCTGTCTGGATGCTCTGCCCTATAGCTGACCCAGTATCTGTCCTCTGGGTCCTCTGCCTGCCCTTTCTTTTTCTCCCTGTGTTTGGAAAAGGAGGAATCTTTGGGTTTGGTGGTGTTCTGGGAAAATCACTTTCTCCGAACATATATTTCACATACTTTCCAGAGTTGGAAAGGTAACAGCAGGGAAGGAAACATCAGAGGTGGGAGGAGGTGCTTTTGGGGAAATTGTGGAGTTTGAGGAGCATGCTGCAGGAATGGCTTTGACAAGATTGTGCAGATGCAAGGGGAATGCAGAGGCAGGCTGGGGAGATTCCCGGATGTTCAAGAAAGGGGCTTTTTGGAGGTAGATACAGAGTTGACACAGAAATGAGATGGTGAGTTACAATATGGAGAAAAGCTCCTTTTGGTGTTGCTCCTCACTGAAGAGGTGAACTTTTCAGAGTAGGTAGCATCTCAGTGAGAGGCTAAACTATTCCTCACACGTCCCACCATGGTGGCTTTGGCATTCATCGTCTTCTATTGAGGTCAGAGCAATGGCATTACCATTTCACACAGTGCTGGTGGTGTGCCACCTAGAAAGAGGCATTCAGTCTGCTCAGCAGAATGTTGTAGGGCATTATATGGTGTAGATGCAAGACAAAGAAATAATCGGACTCATCAGGCTTTCTTCAGTGACATGTCTGAACTTCTGTAAGACAGACTTGAACCAGTGACCTAGAGGTGAAGCATTACTAGTCTGTTGAGCCACCTTCTTGCTCTGTTTGTGACTACAAAATCCCACCCACTTAGTGGCATCGCAGGGTGTGGATGTTACAGATTGTGGGTTTGCTGGGCAAGTCTCTTGCCAGATTTCCCAAGTACTCTAGAATTCACTGAGAGGGAAAAGGGCATTATGAACATGACAATTATTTACTGGTCTAGGCCAAACTAGAGCTACTAGAACATTAAGAACGAATGATGAAATACCAAAATATCAGGATACACCAAAGGTAAGGACAATTATAGTGTCAATACTGTCCTCATTTTGTGTGGGTCATCACAAAATAGTCTTAAGGTACATAATCATGCACTGTTTCTCAAATGGTGTTATATGAATGGTCAGCCTTGAAAGTACCTTCATATACTTAGCCTTGTGCTTGCTAATGTGTGGGGTCTTGATGCCACCAGCAGTTGCTCACTGGGCAAAAGCCTCAGTGGGAGTGGGTGCTGGTATCTTGTAGATTTTTCCTACAACCTTGAATAATTTTTCTTTCTTAGATAGCCATATAGTTTTTCTCCTCAAGGAGGGTCCAGGCTACCTCTGTGGCTTTGGACTTCTTGCCAAATATTTTTTTTCTTGTTTTTTTTAAAATGATTTTTCAACATGAGTCACACCTTTGGGATCACAGTTTCCTCACCTGTGATTCAGGGAACTCATTAATTAGTGTAAGATGTTAAATATGTCTGTGAGATCACAGGAAAAACTGTGGATGGTCTTCTCCATCCTTCATTTATCAAGCTGCATGTTTGAAAATGTACAGTTTTCTATATTCAAACTTGCATTGTTCTTTCAAGACCAAATGAGACTTGATATATATTGTGTATATATGTAGTATGTGTATACATATATATATTTATTATACACATAGTATATATTTTATATACATATACATGTCAAGTATCTTTTATATAGTGTTAATGTTCCTAGGCCAGTACTAGGTAAAGAATTGTTAGTCATATGAGAAGAGCTCACAGGATTGTTCCCCACAATTAGCATTACCAGAGCAATGTGTTCCCTCAGTTATGTCATGGACACTTTTCACTGTGCCAGCCATAGTGGAGGCATGGTAGAAGGAGCCTTTTTGTCTTCTGTGCTTGCCTTAGAAATTTTAAACATGATGTTCCTTGGTTAAATTTCAAAACAGCCTTCAAACCCCATCCAACATGGCCAAGAACTGTGTGAGAATTTGTTTTGAAATGAAGGACTGAAATTGTTGCTTAACTGTAGTTTTCAATGAAATCTCTGCTCTTTAATTTCATTCTGATATTTGATCTGAAAATGTTGATTTTCATGAGAGGACTGGGGATTTTATAGTCTGAGTTAAATGGCTTTAGGATTTTTCAGTTATATTTCTTATTTGAGAACACAGCTTAATTCTCTGAAGTGTGTTTGAGCATGCCTTGGGGATTGCCTGCTCAGCCTTGGGTTTGGGGTCCCTGACATGTTTCTCCAGAAGCAGGTCTGAGGATACAGTAATGGCTTGTAAGTGATAAAGTCTCTGCCACTCTTCCTCTTTCAGAGAATTCGGTCGACAGTGGATGAAAAAGAACAGAAGCAGCTTCTGATGGACCTTGATGTAGTAATGCGAAGCAGTGACTGCCCGTATATTGTTCAGTTTTATGGCGCGCTCTTCAGAGAGGTGGGCACTCCGAACTTGCTTCATTCATAGCAAAGTTTGGTTTTCATATTATTATTATTAATTATTATTATTATTATTTGCAGTTTCCAACTTGCAATAAGGAGGAGAAAATTTATGTTAGGTTTCTTAGCTCTCCATTTTTCATCAAGGGTATTTAACCAGAAGACCTAGACATCCGTGTGCTGCTGAGCACATACATGCTATTCCCATTCATTGTTATGTCTCTCTGTGTATTTCAGTCTCTCCTTCCCTGCTTTTCTTCTGTCTTGATGAGCTCCCCGATGCAAAGCATGTGCTGCTGGCTGGGCGCAGCTCTGCAGCACAGTGCTTGGACACAGATGTGATTTATGTCAGTGGTTGTGAGATGTGACCATGTGGGGGACCTGTATGCCTGTAATAAAGGTGGCTGCCGTGAGTCACAGCTCCCCATAAGGTTATCTGATGGATATGTGTGTGTATGTATCCAGACTGTGTCAGAGACTCCCAGTTGACATACATCTGCCTTGAAGTGGTTTGTACCTGCAGATACGTTAGAACACAAGGGCAATCATGCTGGTTCAGACCAAAACTCCTAATGGGATGTTCTGTCTCTGGCAGTGGCCCACAAGATCTGCTTGTTGAAGCATGTGTGATACTTTGCCAGAGCCTTCAAACATATGTAGCTGAGTGTCTTCTGAGCTAGATGTGCTGTCTTTGTGCTCAGTGACTCTCCCTGAATTTCGTTTCCACAAAAGTGTTCCGTTTCCCCTTGAATACATGTACATTTTTTTGCATCCATGGTGCTTCCTGAGAGGCACTTCCTTTGGTTGTCCACCCCTATCACCTTGATTCATTATGAATTTTCATCCTGCTGTTTTGAGTGGTGCCCCTAGTGCTTCCCCTAGCTTTTGTATTTGAAGAAGTGATAAACAGTTGGTCTTTACCCATCTTCTCCAGGCCACTGAGAATTCTGTGGAGAGTTGCCATATTCCCCCTATGTCATGTCTTACCCAGCCTGATGAGTGCCAAGCTGTCATACGCAGAAGCCCTTCCAGGCCTTTGATCATATTTCTTGCAGTTCTCTGCATATTTTCCAGTTCTGCTCTGTCCTCTTGGGACAGTGACCAAAATTGCGTGACTGTTCTTGAAAGGAGCACTATCTGCAGTAGCTAGCATAGGGGCTGTAATTTTGCTTGGCCCTTTTATGCACAAAGGTATCATGAGCTGAGGTTATCCAACATGATGATTCTATGAGTGCTTCCAAGTGAAGAACAGAATTAAAGCATTGAAAGCTATGTCAGTTGACCACCATTAATCCTGACATACTTTAGCTGTTTATGGCCATGCATATGTTGTTAATCACTGCATGTCTGTGATTGTTTTAATATTTACTTACTGTAATTTAATGTAGATATGCCTCAGGGCCACAGAATGTATCCTTATACCTCCTTGTGCTTTGCCCAGGGACTGCCATTGCTATCTAACTTCAAATGACCAGTAAAAACTGTTGGGAAGCTGGCCTTCTCCAGGCAGACTGGACAGTCTTATGCTACGGTTGGAGGCCAGTCATCAGGCTGAGCTGAGTCTGTTCAGAACAGGCACAGAAATAGGAATATATTGCCGGTGAGCAGCACTGAATTGCAAGCACTTGGTCCATTTGCAAGAACAAGAGTTTTGGAGAAGATGAGTGTCAAAACCTGACTACTGCATCCCCTTCCTCCGGAGAGCAGCAGCTCCTGCAGCTCTCCTGCAGGTGTGGATTATTCCTCCTCCTGTAATTGCTCTGCTGCTGAAGCTGTCACAGTGTAGGGGGATAGACATGTAGCCTTGCCTGTTTTCCACTACTTCAGCACAAATCCAGTACTCAAGGGAAGAAGGAAAATAGAGACCTACTGGCAGCTAGTCATCTTTGCGTATTATCGGGCATAGCAGCCTTAACAGAGTCTTGTGGGGCTTTACTGGGGAACTGTTAGAGAAAGAAGGTCAGTATTGTAATTAAAGCCCAAAACTGGGACTGAATATTTAATTTCTGCTTCTAGAGAGTCTGCTTCTGTAATTTTGCCAGGTCACTCCTCTGGCTTTTAAATCTTAGTCTCTAAAATAAGGATAATCCTTCCTTTTCCCATGCTCTGCTTTTTCTTATCTGTTTAAACATGAAGCCATTTGGTCTAGGAGGCCAAATGTTCACACAGTACAAGCTCCTACCAAGTGTGGAGCCTCAGCCTTGGCTGAAAATTTCCAGCTTTGCTGAAATACAGATGATAAGGCTGTCAGCTGGTGTGAAGAAAAGTCTCTGGGCAAGACAGTGTCTTGCCAGCTGCTGATGAGCAACGTGTTCAGAGCTGTTCAAGCCTGTCACCTCTCTGCAGCTCTAGGCACATCCCAAGAGGTAAGTACAAATACATAAATAGTATAAAACCCAACCTTGATCAGCACTCAGATGTCAGCCTGGCTTCTGCTGCACCCTTTGTCTTGTACAAAAAACCTGTCCTCCTGCAGCCGGACAGGGGTCCTTCTGTGCTCTGTCTGGAAAAGGTTTCAGTAAGGTAACTTCTGAATTATATCATGCTGGTCCCTGGAATCCTCTTTTCCCCCTACCTCAGCATCAGTGTTACTTGCTTCTGAGATGAAAGGAGCCTTCCCCTCTGCTCAGTCCCTTACTGCTAAGGTGATGTTGCAAGCCACGTACCCCAGATGTGCACAGGATGAGCTGGTATGCTTGGATAAGGGTTTCGGTCTTGTCATATTAATTACATGTTCTATATTAATTACATCTTTTAAAGCTAGGAAAATATGACAACAGAGAAGCACAGAAAGGGAAAAAAAGAATTTCACCAGTGTGTTTGAACCTGTCTTGCTGCACCATCCCCTGGAGTATAGGAACTCATGGGACATTGCTAAAGACTGAACCTCTCCCAGGAAGTCCTACATCAAAGCTTGTATAAACAAAGTTCGTTTCTGTAGTGTTTCGAGGTGAAAAGTAAGGAAATAAGTTCCAAAAGGCAGATCTTCTTGGAACTGCCTGTTCTGAGCCAGGATTCAGATGGAGCTACAGATGGATAGTCTTCTGCCTGCTCTTAAAAAGTGAAAGACTTCAATTTGAGCCTTTACAGAGGAGCTTAAAAGTTGAGTAGGTGGTGCTCACAATCAGATGATTGGCAAGAAGATTATAGCAGCTTCAGGAACAGCAGCAGGGCAGCTGGGCTGTTTTGAAAGGCAGGTAGCTTTTTCAGAAGAGTGAGCTGTTGATGCAGAGCAGTAGAGCTAAGCTCTTGAAACTTGACAGTTTGGGGAGTGGGAGTAGTAAACCAAATTGGACAAAACTGTTCAAGGTGATATTTTGAAGACAGACAAGTATCCCAGCTTGCAGTCTGGCAAGTAGCTGTAAACAGGCGAGTTACTGTGGCAGCCTCTATGACTATGAAAAGTTTGATTTGGAAAGGCAAAAAATACTACACAAATGCATCTACCTAGTTGTATTCTGTCTCACTTGCTCAGCAGCACTTTCTGATAGGGGAAGTCTTCTCTGGGAACTGCTCCTGCTTGTACCTCATCAGGCAGCATTTTAACACATGGTGTTTGCTTCTTATTCTTCAATCGTATGGGACATCCTTCTATTATGTATGTCTATGTATATATAATGTAGTTTTTGCATTATTACACATTACAAGTTGATTGCTGGGTACAGGAGTTTACTTGAGTTTATCAGCATCCATTAGATGAGATTAAATTGCCTGTTTAATGAAACAAGAACAAAGCTGAAAAAGTAGAAGACAGCGTTTCAGCCTTTGCATGGAGTCGGGCTTCATTACACCGATGCCAATTAGTGCATGTGCTGGAGTTGGGTCCTCTGTGGGACAGCACTCCGCTCACTCCTGCTTTCATTGAGGATGCTGTGACCGTGTTGCGCCTCCCCATGATGTTACAGCACCCTTCATTCTTCTAGTGCAGCTGTTGAGGGGACTGCTCTATTGGTTTTCAAATGATCCTAGATAGGAAAAAAATGAACCTTTTTTTTTTTTTTTTCAATAGCAGAAGGAATCCCTGAACACTGATGTAATGTGTGGCAGTTGATTAAATGGTTTTCATGTCCACAGCCTGACTTTTTAACAGAAGAGAGAAGAAAGTTTCATCTAGTAAAGGCTGGAGAATGAAGAGAATCAGAAAGAAAGATCTGGAGGAGGGTGCAGAAGGAGTAGTTACACCACTGGCTGCATTCCTGGTTACACTGGCTACAGAAGGGATTTGTTTGCTGATGAATTATAAAATCATTGAATTATGGAATGGTTTGGGTTGGAATGGACCTTTGAAGATCATAGAATCCAATGCCCCTGCATGGGCAGGTACATCTTTCACTTGATCAGATTGCCCAGAGCCCTGTCCAACCTGACCTTGAACACTTACAGCGATGGGACATCCATAACTTCTCTGGGCAACCTGCTCCAGTGTCCTGCCACCCTCATTGTAAAAGATGTTTTTGGTTTTGTTTTGTTTTGTTTTTGTTTTTTTTTTTTTTTTTTGTCCAAACTGAATCTACCCTCTTTGAGTTTAAATCCATTGCCCCTTGTCCTGTCACTGCAGGCTCTTATAAAAAGTCTTTCCCCATCTTTATTACAAGCTCTCTTTAAGTACTGAAAGGTTGCAGTAAGGTCTTCCTGGAGCCTTCTCTAGGCCGAACAACTCTTTCAGCCTGTCCTCATAGGAGAGCTGTTCCATCCCTCTGATCGTTTTGGTGTCCCTCCTCTGGACCCACTCTAACAGGTCCATGTGCTGGGGTCCCCAGAGCTGGACACAGCACTGCAGGGGGTTTCTCACCAGAGCAAAGTAGAGGGGGACAGTTACCTCCCACAACCTGCTGGCCACACTTTTCTTGATGGAGACGGTGTTGGCTTTCTGGGCTGCAAGTGCACATTACCAGTTCATGCCCAATTTTCCATCCATCAGCATCCCCAAGTCCTCTACAGGGCTGCTCTTGATCCTTTCATCCCCCAGTCTGTACTGATTCTGGGGGTTGACCCGAC